AGCTAGATAATAGTTGCGCATCCACTTTTTCTTATCCATTCTGGAAATTACATATTATGCAAATTTGATGAATTTCAAAAATAAGAGAGAGAGATATAAGAAATAATTATATTCACTATACACTGTCGAATTACAGGTCGTACATACTAACAGTAATTTTCCGTAATTTAGCACAACACAAATAACTCGTCGGGCACAGCTAATAGATATACTTCATTAATGTCAGCAATGATTTTCTCACATAGCAAGTATCACTGATTTTAAACACATGGAGACCAATACACATAATCATCCAAATGCGATCTTGCTATTCAAGCAACCTTCTTCTCAGAGATAACTACAGACCACTCGGCTTCACAAAACATATGCAACCAACAATGCCTGTAGTTTAGTTGAGTCATTCTTCCATAGATGGACGCACACAACGATCCTAGTGAGTAAACGTGGATTGACTGTTTGCACCCTAAAACTACCTAGTCTGTAAGATGACATTTTATAGGTTTTTTAGACATTTTATAGGTTTTTACATAATATCTCCTCGTGCGGGTCAGTATCCAAATCAGGCATAGCGCGGTGACCAGGTTACCCTAGTTTATAAACAAACCACATTTGAAAAACCAAAACTGGCGCATTCCCAGAACAATACCGTAGCTATCGATTTGATATGGGCATCTTCAAGATCCTCTTGATACTCCGCGAGTGTACTCAGAATCAAAGCTGCATATGTTTGTTTATATCGTGCAGAAGCCATCTGGTTGAACACAGTTGAATACCTAGACAGCCCCAAATGCTGCAAATTTAGAAAGAGGTAGGCAAACTCGTTTTTTTTTAATCGAATAGCGACAACTTCAAGCAGCGTTTAGAAACCAGTCATGTGACATTATTTGAAATTCCTTACGAAATGAATAGCGAGTATGTTACTCTTTCCGGTGTTGTTTTGCTGCTTATTAGCTTTGGTTTTACATACGTAGTTAAGTCTGAAATGGAAACACAACTTTGAGATCACTCTGTATACTTAAGCGGATGCGAGTGAGACAGTGAGTTTGGCCTATTGCAGGGGTCAGCAACCTTTTGAGACAGAAGAGCCAAAAGTTACAATTTACAAAAACCAGCAATTCTATTTGCAACGAACCAACATTAACTCCAAATGGCTCAATGTTAATCTCATTTATATTTGTGTTGAGAGGTTTTTAGTATGAACTGGAGAACTGCAAGTTTGTCAAATATGACATATGAAAAAAGACAAACCATTTTCTCTCCTAAGAAGGGTTTTGGCAACATTGTCACATTTGCGAGCGTTAGAGTGTTTCATTTATTGAGTTCTCGGGAACTGAATCAATAAAAAAGTTGGGTTACAAAGTACAATGATTATTTTTACCCTTAGAACCATGAATCCCCAGCTCCTTTATAGCTTTCCACCAGCTCCGAGAGCTGTTGCTTTTTCTTAGCTGGTATTCAATGTATGCTTTTTTTTCGCGCCTAACGAAACTTAAAATTACATCGTGAACCACCTGATGATGTACAAGATCTTGTAATTGTAATTTAAACAATCGTTTTAAATATTTTTAATCCGTTTTAATTTGTTCCTGACATACATGTGTAGTTTATATTAATTTTGACGAATGTACCATGTATCCAGCATTCACCAGGTTACTGGTTGTTATCCCTCAACCTAAACGTTAATAACATTTAGCAACAATCTCACATACGATTCTCCTGATGAAGATGGCAAAGTCCATTGAAAGCTAGAGATTAATAAAGTATAAAGAGTCCTCTTTGCTTGAATTTTGTCGACGTACCCAACAAAAGGCGGAAGCTTTATTTTTCGCCTAACTGGTCTAAACGACAATGACCACGTCTCAAGTTATACATATATATACAGAAATTTATAAACAGGGTGTCTGAAAAGTTCCGGGACCCCACGATAATATGTGAACTAATAATGGTAGGAAAAAATTAAACCGCCGATTGATAAGAGTTTTCCCCCAGCCATCCAATGGTGACCTTGTATTAAGCCCTTAATCATAACGGTCAAGGTCATTTGAAGGTCAATACCATTTTTTCAAATGGAGAGTCCCCATTTTTACCCCGTAAATGAAGAGTGGAAAATTTTACGTTCAAATATGATCCTAAATATAGTCATGGTCAAGGTCAAACCCAGGTACAGTGACAGCCAGTAGTAGTAGTACCTATAAGGAAACTACCGAAACGTTGTTTTCATGATTTTCCCAGGATATCACTTGATGATATTGGGTCTGACCTGACTCTTCGTTTTAATGGGACGCTATACTTTTGACCGCGGAAATGGAGAAAAAGGAAAAGTTTATGTTCGAATATGTCCTTGATCATTTTTGGGTCTTTTCGTTGGACTGGACCGTCAACGTCAAACACAAGTTTACCTTAGCTTGTTGATAATTCAGAAAACTGTGTGAGCTCCAAATAAACTGACTTCACAGTTCTTTGAAAATTGTTCCCCAACTACAAAAATCGACTTCACCTTCACATGAGCTTGAAGGTCACCATGGTTAATTAAGATCAGATCCAAAGTCACCATTGAATATCCGGGTAAAAGTAATGAAAATTATATTTCTGTAGTTTCACTATACGACTACTGATTATCAAGTTATTCACTGTACCTGGGTTTGACCTTAACTACATACCTCCTGGGTCAAAATTTAATAATAGTCGAGCTCATAGTTTTGAACGTTAAATTTTCCGCCTTTTTAATTTACGGGGTCAAAAATGGAGTTCCACTTGAGTTGACCTTCAAATGACCTTGAAGGTCATGGTCAAGGTCAAGTCCAATGTCACCTGTAGAATATTCCTCTTAATCACGGGACTTGGTTTTTCCAAATCATTATTAATTCACAAATGATCGAGGGGGTTCCGGAACTTTACAGACACTCTGTATAAAGAGGTGGCATGAAATTACACGGGTTAGAAGCGCATAGGTATATTAACGTCAAAAATCTCAGATATATCCTCCCCACCCCCTGCAATATCCACATCCAATATTTAGTCTCTTATCAGCAGGAAACATCAAAAAAGTTTTAAGATCTCATTATCTTTTTTTTTTTTCGTTTACGACACATACATTTTTCTAAAACATTTATTTTCTGATTCTTCACTTAATTTCTTCGTTTTTGTATTATTCCCTTGCTGTAAATCTTCAACTTTTACTACTATCGCAATACTTATGAATAATTTTAGGTGATTTCCAACATTTCCTGTAAACTTCTACTAAAACACAAACGTTTCTTATATTATATAATAAATCAAATAGATGCTCGTGTATGCACGTGCTACTATCCTTTCCTTAATTCTTAAATAACACTAGCCCTTTTTCATCAGTACCACGACATTCTGACCACGTATCTCATTTGGCCACCATTCAGTTGTTAGTGAGTGAGTTTATTGGTGCTAAACCACGGTCCACGACAAGGTCGCCTTACGACAGATTTCTAATTTGAGAGGAATATTTTCTCCTCCTTTCTCATTTTCTGATTATTTCACGTTTTACACCCTACTGCGTACTGTTTATGGGACATTTTTGTACAGAACAGAAATGCTTGAAATGTTTATATGCTCATTAGAGCATATAGCATAGATAGGAAGCCTTTTGCTCAGAAATATATTCGGTTTTTTCGAATAATTTTGTTCAAAAATGAGGCCTTTTAGTCGATGTAATGAATATGGTCAATTTCTTGTGAAATATCTCCCAAGCTAAAGAACAGTTATACGATTTGTGTAAGATGCGCCTCTAATTATTGTACTAAATCAAGAGATACTTCATAGACAACCTGGCTCAGCTAAACAGACTATTTTTTTCTCTTTATGAATTTGTATTAAGTCAGTCAAACTAGACCAGACCTGTGCAACATACGGCCCCCGCGCCACCACCCGGCCCGCATAGGCCCTTTATCCGGCTCGCCAACCAATACCCGAACCTTACTAAATTAGCTCTTCAAAACATTTCTTTATTCGGTAGTACATGGGTATTTCTGAGCAAATTTCTAAATTCATGTCCTGAGCCATTGATAATTTCACATTTTTATTATATCAATAAGTATATACACTAAAAGTCATTCCTGAGGGAACGAGATGAGTCTCGTCCCTGGGTCCGAAATTAATAACAAAAAGATATATACAATAAAATCTGTTCATATTCTTATAAATTGAATATTACTAAAATATTGGGTAATAAGTATGGATTGTATAGTCAAGCTTTCATTGCTAAAAAATAAATATGTATATAAAAAAGTCTATTTAAACATTATGTCCCTTGAAATGAAATCATTCCCTCACCCATTATTGATATTCTTGAAGGCAGCTGGTATGTTTTTAAAACTTGGCAATACTGCTAATACTGTCACCATGGCGAAATTTTGTTATAGTGAATTGAGTTGCTGCAAAAAAGTATTGGATTTCAATAATTAGAAAATTACATTGCTCTGTGTCATTACCTCACTGTTTATATTAAAAGGTAAGTCATTACATTGTTCAAATGTTTTAATGATTTTTTTCTTGTTTTGGGGAGTAAAATGCATTCGCAAAATGCTAAATCAATCTGAGGTGATGTACTGCAGGTTACGGTGTCGTTTATGCAAATCCGTCATTCCTTCATGGTCATTCCTCATTATATTAGAAACTGAGGGAATGACAATTATATGAGGGAATAATTTTGGCATATATAAAATTGTGGTTTGGGTGTTATTGTTTAACTCCAGGTTGTACACCATGTGTTTTCAATTTAGCAGATATCCGTTCACCAAGAAGGGTGAAAATTAAGAAGTTAAGTGAAGCAGAAAGGAAATTAAAAAAGGAGTCTTTAGCAGCTTTGCGTGAAAAAGAAAGATTAAAGTATTTAAAGAAAAAGAGTAACAGTCAAGTTAATTCAATAAGTTCTGAGTGCAAGAGAAGCTAGCCAAAAACGAAAACAATGGAAAAAGAATAGTAAAGTTTATAGGGAATATCGAGTTACATTACAAACAAATTTACAGAGAATACTAGAAGAAACACCCCCACCAAGCCCTGCACTATCTTTACAGCACAGAGCAGAGAATTTATCTGCTCTCAATAGACGTAGAATGCGCAAGCGGCATGGTATTCTGTACGCCAAGATTAAAAGTTTGGAAAATAAAGTAAGGAACGCAGTCAAGCTTAGTGAAAAATACAATAAGAGGTATTTGAGATTGAAAACTAAAAATACTGACCCAAACTCTCCAGCAACTAAAATGTCTTCGCTTTTAAACAATATACAAGTTCCTGACGTTGTATGAAAAATACTCATTTTCGGAAAAGCACTGTCAACGGACCTCAAGAATAACTATAAAGATCTTGGAAGTAAACATGGAGAAAAAATATTACAAAATTTTGAAGATGCAATTAGTGCGAAAATATAAATTGCTATATAAATCGAAACATTTTTTCAAAAACGATTTACAAAACACTATTCAATTAGTACAAGTAAAAAGTTTCATTAGGCGACAAAATTGCATCTCTTGAGCTTATACAGTCTGGGGTACCACAAGGTTATGTTTCAGGGCAATTGCTATTCATATTACCAAAGTTGTTCAAAACTGTGAAATGTTGACCTATGTACGCCGATGGCCCAAAAGTATCTATCATTTTACCGAAAATAATATAATAATAATAATATAATATTTATTCACTCAATGTACAAAGATAACAAACAATATGAGTAAATAAATATAAAATCAAAACATAATAATTATGAAAATGATACCTCATTTATAACAAAGATGTAGAAGTAATCTGTAATTATGCAAAGGACAATGTTCTTAAATTGAACACTAAAAAGGCCCAAATGATTTTATTCGGCTCAAAAACGAAATCCAATTTTTAGAACGAAAACATGCAAATTTGTATCAACAAACCACAGTTGAACCTCTGGGTGGTCTTTGGTGAAAGAATAATAATAAGATTCCGAGTCACGTCGCTTTTACAGTTAAAAAACTGCTATTTAGAAATAAGCCTCCTGTATGCCAACAAAAACATGTTGACTAAGTTTTTCAAGAAAATTTTGTGTGAAAGACTAGTTATTTCTAAAATTCTTTATTGTATGCTATTATGTTATCCTTGCCTAGACCAATATACAGCAAAATGTTTGCAGAAAATCCAAAATCACTGTTACCGTCTGATAAACAATCTAACAAGGTATGTTCACATCAGGCCATATCTTTTCTATGAACTGGCTAAGTGCTAAGAACGTAATCAAATATTTATTGCTTACAATCATACATAAAACAATACTCAATAAGAAACCTGTACACTTGTACAGAAAATGCATTCCCTGTCATAATTTAATCCGCCCCAACAGAATTATTCGTTTTCCAGATACATATATTCACTATGCCTCAACATAAGACTTCTATATTCACAAGTTTTTGACATTTAACGCATTCTCGTTGTACAATTTTCTACCAAATGACCTGAAAACTATGACTGAAGAAGTTTAAACTAAATTTGAAGTTGCACCTTCTGCATATGTAAATGTAATAGTTTTTAGTATATACCTTTACATTGCATTTTTGATGAACATGTATATATGTGTATATATGTATATACATTTCTTGTATCCAATGTCGCACTAGGGTTAAATGGAGAAATAGCCAAGGCTCAATTTCGCCCATAAACAGGGTGACTTCGAAGTTGAGTCATTTATTTTAACAGTGAGTAGATCTGATCAAAAGAAATGTTTTTTTCCTTTAACATTTTTGTGGTAAAATTAAAGTAACAAAGTTATAGCCCTTTAGAAGTTTGAGTACCGCCCTGTCTCAATAATAATATTATGTGCTCGTGTTTGGCAACAACGGATATAATCCGCCTTATCGGTTCATCGCATCGGAAACAAAAAAGCGAAAGAATTTGAAACGCTTATCACGATGTTTTTACTACAATTTTATTCAGTTGTATTCAGTCAATGTGTCAGTCGGTAACGCGTGAGTGAATAGTGGTGTTTGTTACGTGGCTCAAACGAAATAAAAAATGGCACATGTTTACGAAAATGCTGAACTTGTGGACATGATTCTTATTTACGAGGGGGGGAGTCTTTACAAAATGCTGCCGCGGCATCACGGATTTATGCGGATTGGTTTCCCAATCGAGTGCAACCATCCCCTCGTGCCTTTGTTAATGTAGTACAAAGGGCTCGGGAATCAGGTGACTTAAGACCTCACAGGGGAGGGCATGCCGGTGCTCCAAGACCGCACGATCAAATACAGGTCCGCACTGAAATACTTGTCGGGAGGATACTTTATAAAAAAAGGTAACATTTTTTTTTATTTTTTTTTTTATTTTTACACACATATTTTGGTTTATCTTCCTTCTACAATCATTATCTGAAAATTAATGTCTCAACTTCAAAGTATAATATATCATTATAAACAAATCCGATTATTATTATTATTTGCCTGACTTAACAGCCGATGATACTATTCTTTACTGGTCGGTGTCACGACCATGCGACCTCAAACCAGCTCGTGTTGATCATAAAAGTAGTAAGAAAGAAACAGGATTTCTCATGCGGTAGTCATATTAATTGATTCCTTAAACAATGTTTGTTAAAGACTAGTCATTTTATAAGCTCACTGATGTCTTCAAAGAACTTATCAAGCAGAATTTTGTACAGCAAGGACTAAAGTCAATGATCTGTCAAGACTGATCTGATACACATCCATAAGGATAAGAAATAGAATTGTGAGGCTAACCTCAATGGATGGATTGTTAAACATATATCCTTTCTTTAATTGTCCCTCTCAAGTAAGTAGTGACACTGTTATTTTCAATAAAATGCATAGTAATTACTCTCATATCAATCGAGATAGTGTATCAGGTTTGATCCATGTTTAGAGCAAGCCACAAATCCTTCTTTTTGATTGGTTGGTTTTGCGTCACAGCCGCAAATTTTCTGCCAGGCATCAAATAAAAAAATCTGTTTTTGTAGCTAAGCCAGGTGATTTATGAAGTATTTCTTAATTCAACATGAGAATTAAGGGCCAATCTTACACAAATCCCATAATTCTTCTCTAGCTTGAGAGACATTTTACAAGAAAACAACCATATTCATTAGATCCATTACATTTTCAATGGTCGAATCGGCCTCTCTCTTGGACTTAAGGTTGAAGGTACCAAAGAAGCTATTCATAGATGACAGTATCACTTGCATGCGATATACAGAATGCTAAGATTTATTGAAACATTGGCAATGAATAATTTGTATATCTCAACATACCGCTAAAGCTCCTGTTAAGTTAAAATCGTCCCTTATACAAAGTTCTACGTCAATTTATTCAGTAGATGTTAAACACTAATGAAAATCACATAAAAAATCTCGTGTATGCTCTCTAGCTGTCTGAAAATATTGATATTAAGCGCTCAAACAGTTTACGTCGTTTTTGTTAACGGCTGCCTGCAAGATAAATCCGCAACTTGTTGACGCGAGTTAATTGGGAAAGATTAGTTAAATAAGTGTCCACTAGTTGGATCGCCGCATTTATCTAGAATCCAGAATAACGTCGGGACCCAGAATATTTTAGTAATGGAGTATAAGGGAAAACAATAAATCTCGATTGAAAGGATAGATCTATTTGTGCAAGATCTTTTATACTACGGTGAGTGGCTATGTTTGGTATATGGAAGGGTGAGTGTGTGAGTGAGTGAAATGAATACTGAGTCTTTCAAATCCAAGTCACTCACAATATGGTAAGAGTTACGATGTCGGCAAAGTTGCGCATTTAGGCATTTAGACCAACTCCACCACGGATGTCTCAATGCCCGACTGCCGTTGATTCAAAGGGTTCCCTATACTATACGGGAAGTAACATTGAGGCATAAGACCGTAAGGCGGATGCTCTTGTCGCTTGACGTCAACAAATCTTCTTGTGCGGACTTGATTTCTGCCGTTGTATTGTAGACGGGTGGAGCGGAGCTTGTTCTTTCGCGTCTCTTCCAGATATGTTATGAATACGGTACCTTGTCAGAAAACTGGAAATTTGCTCATATCCAAGCTAGTACAAAAAAAGATCTAAGACCGACGCTTGCAACTACAGGTCTATAGCTCTGCTTGCTGCCTCCTACCTTTCGCGGCTGTTCCCCAGGGATCGGACTTGGCTCCGACATTATTTCTCTTACATATCAACGACCCTCTTACCTGCAAGATCAATGCAATCCAAAGCTCTGCTGATGAGTTGTAGAAAAAAAGATTAGCAGCGACTTCCTCTCTGACGAGAGACCTGGAGGTTATCACTGCTTGGGAACACAACTATATAGTAGATACAATTCAATGCTTAAAAACACAGTAGTGTAACTTGACAACAAAAAGCGTACTCGCAATAATTCGGTTTCGACGGATATCCGAGTTCCACCAAATAGCCGTTCATTTCGGCTGGTCGGAGTCCAGATCACCTGTGGCAGGAATACATCTCATCAATAGTGGCAGCTGCTGCGAAAAAGCTAAGCTACTTTTCAGGGATAAGAAGTACTTTTCTCCATATGAGCTCCTTACTCTGTGCCCAGACTGGACCAAGCCTCGAGTATTGCTCACATGTTTCGGCTGCTGCCACCCCGACTACATTCTCCATGCTAGATGCTGTTCAGGGGACGGCGGTCCGACTGATCGATGACTCTTCTCTAAAGTACAGTCTCGGGTCCTAGTCGACGGCCGTCGGCGATTTAGCTCTATTGTACCGCTACGCCAACCAGCTTGGCGCGTAAATGCTCTCCTCCATGATGCCGCCCCACGATGTGCCTGCCAGACAGACCCGCCTGACTTAGGCCTCCCATCCTAGCCGTGTCGAACTTCGTACATCCAGAACTGGCGATACGAGCGCTACTTTGTCCATAGGGTATCGAGATGGTGGAAGAATCTACATGAGGAGGCTTTTCAGAGTTCTACTAACCTTAGGCAGTTAAAAATCGGATTAACAAAGTTTCTTTAAGCTCCTCATTGCAGACGCGGTGCCCTGGCATTTAGCCCTCTGCCTACATAGCTGCTTGGGTGTAAAAAAAACTAAGAACATGGCAGACATTTTTCCAATTCAGAATGTTTCCGGAGACGAAATAAACATTTATTCCAAAATTGTTTTTGTTTTGACTTTATTCGAAGTGAGACATTAAAATAAGTTGCACGTTAATATTGCAGCTTTGTCTCCACTACAATTTCCATATGGCGCTGCGTATCTTGTCCCCAATCACCAAATTCAACTTTCTTATGGATGCCACATTGGATTTATGTAGAGATAAATACAGTTTTTAGTTC